GCGGGTCCCCTGTCCCCTCAGTCCCCTCCCAACCGGGGCTCCCTCACAGCCGGGGCTCCCCTCAGGGCTGAGATTCCCTTGTCCGCTCTTTCCCCTCAGGCCGGGGGTCCCCTTTCCCCTCATACCCTCAAGGTCGGGGCTCCCCTGTCCCCTCAGTCCCCTCAGGCCGGGTGTCCCCTCAGTCCCCTCAGTCCCCTCAGGCCGAGCTCCCCTCTACCCTCGGTCCCCTCACGGCCTGAGGTCCCCTGTCCCCTCGGTCCCCTCATGGCCGAGATTCCCTTGTCTCCTCGGTCCCCTCAGGCTGGGGGTCTCCTGTCCCCCCACTCCCCTCACGACCAGGGCTCCCCTATCCCCTCACCTCTCAGGCCGCAGGTCCCCTGTCCCCTCAGGCCGTGGGTCCCCTGTCCCCTCGGTCCCCTCATGGCCAAGATTACCTTTTCCCCTCACTCCCCTCAGGGCCGGGGCTCCCCTCATGACCAGGGCTCCCCTGTCCCCTTACCCCTCAGGCCGTGGGTCCCCTGTCCCCTCAGGCTGGGGGTCCCCTGTCCCCTCACCCCTTTAGGCCGGGGCTCCCCTGTCCCCTCAGTCCCCTCAGGGCCGGGGCTCCCCTCATGACCAGGGCTCCCCTGTCCCCTCACCTCTCAGGCCGCGGGTCTCCTGTCCCCTCAGTCCCCTCACAGCCGGGTGTCCCCTCAAGGCCAGGGGTCCCCTGTCCCCTCGCTCCCCTCACGGCCGAGATTCCCTTGTCCCCTCTGTCCCCTCAGGCCGGGGGTCCCCTGTCTCTCACCCCTCATACCGGGTGTCCCCTGTCCTTCACCCCTCATACCGGGTGTCCCCTGTCCTTCACCCCTCAGGCCGGGTGTCCCCTGTCCCCTCAGGCCGGGTGTCCCCTCACCCCTCAGGCCGGGTGTCCCCTCACCCCTCATGCCGGGTGTCCCCTGTCCCCTCATGCCGGGTGTCCCCTCAGGCCGCTGCCGGCCCCCTCTCTTCGGAGTGGGGGAGAAATTCCCGATTTTTTTTTGGTTTTTGGGAGGGAAAATTCCTGATTTTTTTATGGGATTTTTTGGGATTTCAGGGTGGAAAAAGGGGGGGAAATTCCCGGTTTTTAGGGGGAGAATTCCCGATTTTTTTATGGGATTTTTCCTCCCCATTCACGGCCCGAAGTCGCCGTCTGGCGGTCACGGCGGGTATGGCCGGTGGCGGGAGCGGAGCGGGATCCAAGAGGAATCAGAGCGGGATCCGAGAGGAATCAGAGCGGGATCCGACAGGAATCAGAGCGGGATCGGAGTGAGAGAGAGGGGGGGATCGGAGCGGGATCAGAGCGGGATCGGAGTGAGAGACAGGGGGGATCAGAGAGGGATCGGAGTGAGAGTGGGGGGATCAATCCCACAAAAGGTGCAGATGGTTCTCTCGTGCCCTTCCATCAGTATTAACTCCAAGCAAAGCACCGACTCGGCCTTTCTATCAGTACTGTTTATTGCGAGTGCTGAAATGCCGTTCCCAGCTAAGGGAGGAGCGGGTTAATCAGGTAAATCGTGTGGTTCGTTGGAAGACCCTTCCGTGACAATCACATGTGTGGAGTGATTATAGATTATATTTATATCAAAGCCATTCGGGTGAGAAATGAAAATGAAGTCGAGAGAGTTGAAGTCGTTGCTGGAATAAGTGGATTTAGGTATTTTTACACAGAGGGATTTTTGTGTACAGAAAAGAGACCTTGTCGATTATTATTATTATTATTATTATTATTATTATTATTAATTATTATTATTATCTGGTGCCATCGAGTGCTTGTGAAATAGAGTCTCTTACAGCAATATGCGAATTCGTGGTGATTTAGAGACCTCCTCTCAGCTGGGAGCGCTCTCTTTCATATTCACAACTTGAAGCAGATAGTCCATCATCTAATAATAAAAAACAAGAGAAACAGATATTATTTATAGCCCAGCCCCGCAAAAATGCCATTCCCTAAGTTAATAAAGCCAGTGTAAGTTAATAAGCCTAATATATAACCGCCCTGCGCATTCACATTCCTAATAATCCTTCCCAAACAGCCCCCATTTGTCTTGCTTAGTGTAACAAGCCGCTGCCAAAAGCACGAGGAGAGTCATTTGCTCCCGAATAACTCCCTCTGCCATCTCATTTATCTGCCGTCTCATCGGCCTGATGTAAAAAAAAAGCCGACTCGCAGAAACGATTTCAAGTTTGGTTGGTTTTCCCCGTTTTAATTTAATTAATTGATTGATTTCTAAAGAAAATAATAAAAACCCCCGAGGAAAGAAGAGCCTTGCTGATCCATCAGCTGGCAGCAGGGGTCACCATCGCCCCGCTTTTGGCGAATTGGCTGTCAATTGTCCCGTACCTCAAAAAACACCTTTTTATTTACCAATTATTCCCGAAATCGCATTTTTCCACACCACCAAAACGCTGGCGTGAATTTAGGGTGATAGATCTGCTTTAATTTACTGCGGGTAACTTCCAGCCTCCACATTGGGCGTGATGGATCACCAGCTCCTTTTAGCAGCCCCAATCTCTCCCTCGTCCTCTCCCCAGCACGATGGAATTCGTTCCTCTAATTCGGTTACAAAGCTGCTGATGGAACGATTTCCTTTTTTAGACGGCCTTAATCGCAGTTATTGTAAAAACTCATAACCAGACTTAAATCACAACTTCATCTACCGGGGCAGATTTTCTACCTGCATTCCGATAAAAAACCTAAACATGACTTAATTTCTCTGCAAGCCAGGGTGAATCTCACTAGAAACGAATTTCTGCTGCTTCCTCCGGACAATCCTCGAGTTGGAGGAAGGCGATTTGCTGCCGTAAGACAAAAAATCGACCGTGAGGTGGGTTCTCTCTTACTTACATCTTTCCAGCTGCTGTTGTCATCATCTGCCTCCCAGGCGTTCCTGCCGGACCCTCCTCTTCCCAAGTGAGCGCTTCTGTTCTCGTTCCTCTCCAGCAGCCGCAGGAAATGTTTGGAGAGCTCTTCCCACCGCAGATAATCTTCCAGCCGCTTGACGCTCTCGGGTGACGTCGAAAAGAAGGGTTTGTTTTCGTCCGCGAAGCCGTCGGGGGGGAAATCTCCGCTGCTCTTTTTGCCCATCAGGTGTCCTGCAACGACAATTAACGGGGAAAAGAAGTTAAGATTGGACCGGTCGATTATCGGGCGGGCTTTGCTACCGATGGATGGAGGGAGAAGATTTTATCCCGATTAATTTTTTTTTTTTTTCGGAGGAGCGCTCGGCAACTTTCCCCCCCGGGGGGGGGGGGGATAAAAATCCACTCGAAAAACTCTCGGGGGAACGCAACCCACGGCTTACCCACGGCCCAGTGGCTGCCGCGGGGGTAAATTTTGGTGAGCGCGGGGGTCCCCCCGGGCTGC